CACACACACACAGCCACACACTCTTACACACATTCATTCACACACACACAGCCACACACTCTTACACACATTCATTCACACACACACACAGCCACACACTCTTACACACATTCATTCACACACACACACAGCCACACACTCTTACACACATTCATTCACACACACACAGCCACACACTCTTACACACATTCATTCACACACACAGTCACACACTCTTACACACATATTCATTCACACAAACACACACTCATATACACATACCTACACACACACACACACTCGTACACACTCACAGAACCATCACAAATTTCTGGAATTCAAGATTTTAAAAGGTTTTCTCTTTAAATATAGAAAAGCCTAGAGAAAAAGAAAGTGGCTTGTAATGCCACCGCACACGTAATCCCAGTGGCACTTTAGAAAGTTAATACATGCACACAGTTAGAAAACACAAGCAGTTCTGAAAGATGATAAACTAAAAACTGAAACCCTCTTCCTTGGCAGCCCCTCTCTGAAGAGGACCACTCTTCTCGCATCCTCCGGAACACTTCGATGTACCAGCATTTGTACTGATCAAAAGAGAATCACACTCTGCCCACTGTTTGCACTTTGCACAATTTTCACCTAAAGCACATCTCTACAGACCTTTCCACCTCAGCGCCGCCCAATCTCCAGCCTTCCTTCCACGGCCGTGCTTTGTCCCACTACCTGGTTGTGTTCTCTGTGGACAGGTGTCCCTGTCCAGCTTCTTTGTTTTTGTTATGCGCCGACAAGTAGCTTGCTGTACCGGGATGAGCTGTAAGTGTTGCCGTAGACCAGCGGTTCTCAACCAGTGTGCCTCAAGAATTGTTAAAACATGTTCTACCTGACTCTTTAGTCAGGGGCACTGACCGCTTTTCCCTTAGGTTGTCAAATAAAAAAATGAGTCAACACAACAGCTATCCAGTGTGAATGAATCAAAATGACACCTACTTTTTTTGTCAGATCGACAAAAAATGTATTTTTTTGGTTTGGTGCAGAATGGCTTCTGCCTTCATATTGGTCCCTTTGGATGATGAGGCCTTGGTGGGCACGCCAGGACTTCTCGGGCCCTTGAGGACCTCTGTCTTCCTGGCCAGTGGTACAGGTACCATCTTGGACCCAATGTCCTTAGCCTTAGGAGCAGCAGCAGCCTTGGCTTTTGACCCTTCCCTGGGCTCCTGGGCAGTGGCCTCTTTAAGGACCTTGTTCCCTGTCTTCTTTTTGGCTGCGGAAGTCACTCCGTTCTCGCCCTCGGTAACCATGGGTTTTGAACTCTGAGTCCCAGCTTTGGTTTTCCTGTGGGCCTTCTTTCTGCTGGGCTGTTCTTTCTGACTTTAACCTTTGACTTCCCATGGGGCCCACTGGCACCAGGAGGGGCCGCCCGTTGTGGCCTTGTCTGGCTGTCAGGGGGCCTTCCTGGCCTTGACCACTCTTGC